GGGGAATTCTGGGAGTTGACGTCCACACAACTTAAAGTTGCCAAGGTTGAGAAACCCTGCTGTAAAGCAAGAAGGGGAATGTAAAGCAAGTCTTAGGGCACTAAATCATTCAATAAGAAGGTTCACTAACATCTTTTTTAAATTAAAAATGCCTGAAAAATATGGAAACAGGACAAAAATATGCAAACAGGACATGAACATCGTTATGATCACATCCCAAAATAATATGAACCCTCTTCTCTCCATGCATTTTCAGGTCTGGGAGTTGAAGTCCACACATCTTCAAGTTGCCAAGTGTGAAGAACACTGCTATAGATTATATTTTGTAGTTTATATTTATATATTGCATTTATTTTAAGGTTGGGGGGTGGTTTATTGTTTGTTTTGTTGTGGTAGGCTGCCCAGAGTCACCTTGTTTGAGCGGGGTGGCCTTGCAAATCTAATTAGTAAATAAATAAATAGAAATACAAGATCTTCACCTGACAATTGTGGGGAATATCTCTGCAGAAAACAGGTAAGTGGTTGAAAAGGAGGCCCCCAGAGCAGACTTGCCGATCACCGCGAGCACTGTCACAATCACAGGGAAATCTGGAAAAAGAACAATGAGATGAGAAAGAACACAGAAGACCAAGCTCAGAGGTTACAGAACAATCGAAAGCTTCAAAGCTGGGGTCTAGTTCACACAAATCCACAAATGGGGTTAGGTTGGTTTCTGATGACCCTTTCAGGAGAAAGTTCTAGTCACTTACAGAGTTCCTGAACTAACCAGCAGGGCTGAGTCACTAATGTGATTCCCCCAAGGGGAGAATATATAATTGGACTACATAAACCAGGAGTTTGGCTCAGTGGCTGAATTGCCCACTGTTCTTCCCTCTTCTCCTCCATTTGATACAGTATTAAAATCAAAGCTTCCAGTTCCACGCTAGGTTCATTGGACATGAACCATAAATTGTGGTTAAACATAACCACAGTTTATTAACCTAAGCCCATCATGTCTCATCTTCGCCATCCTGGGCAACCTTCACATTTGTGGACTTCAACTTCCAGGATTCTTAGCAGGGGCCGTGCAGGCTGGAGAATATTGGGAGTTGAAGTCCACTCAGCTATATGGTGCCTGGACTGGAGAGGGTTGACTACATAGTTTGAAGCTGGCATCTTGAAGGATGCTAAAATAAAGCCTGTGAACGTCACAGAAATTATGACACATTTGATGTGGAAATAAATCCTTCTAAACATCTCCACTGTGTTGGAAAGAAAAGTCAGTGATTACTCATAGGACAACTGGTTGGACAGCTGGTGTAGGTCCAAGGGCACAATTCATCAATATCTTCTCGCCTCAGGAGGTGGCCTGGAAGGCAATTCTTCCTTAGCTCCATATTTAGCAACAGAAAATAGAGACCTAGTGAAGTTAGACTCTCACAAAATGGCCCACTGTGAGGAAGCCCTGAACGTGAGATCCATTAATGCAGTGTGGCTGGGGAATTCTGGGAGTTGAAGTCCACTCATCTTAAAGTGACCAAGTTTGGACAACACTGCATTAGTGGATACTCTGTGCTTCTCTGATTTCTGTCTTCTCTGTTAATCTCTCTTGGCACTTTCTCTTTTGCTCTTTATCCCCTGCAATGGTTCTTTCTTTTCCCCAAATATTTAGCAATCAGCAGCCCCCCTGCTGAGTTTTTTTCTAATATGGAGCACAGAATATGGAGGCCTTGTGAACTGTAGGCCCATCTTGCTCAAGCTCTGTGGTCAACCCCTGAGCTTCTCCATGCAACAAGAAAGGACCTGTCCCTTCTCCCATGGACAGCAAGGTGGAACTTTCAGCCTGCAGGAATCCTCCATCCATGGTTTAGCAATAGCAGGCAATGAATCCTCCATCCATGGTTTAGCTATGACAGCATAGCTTCATGCAAAAGCGAAAACAATCTCTGTGATGGTTCAACTGGAAAAGATGGAACTTTGTCACCATCCTACCGTGTGGGGACATTTTTCACACAACCTTTTACCAAACTGGCCAAGCTCAATATGGCTTTCTAGTCATGAACAAAGGGCCTCCAAGAATTTTGATACAGCTCCTGCTAAGACCAGGCTCAAATTGTCCTACTTTGGACACATTATGCGAAGACCCAGCTCTCTGGAAGAGGTTCTAAAGCTGGGAAAAGTGGAAGGAAAGAGAAGAAGGGGACCTCCAGCAGCAAGGGGGATGGACTCAGTTACAGTGGTGATGGGGGCACCACTAGAAGACCTGAAGGGCCAGGTTGAGGACAGATGAACCTGGAGAAAAATCTATCTTATGTGATTGCTAGGAGTCTAAAACAACTTGAAGGCACGTGAACAATCAATCCGGCTAAGATTAGCCACGCACAATCTTTTGACCTCCCAACGTTGCCTTGCCATTTAGCTTCTCAAATATCTTCTGTACCTTTGGGGACAACGGGGATGAGCACACACACAATTCCCCCCAGGAGAAGCCAAGCTGCTTGGCACTTCTTCCTCCCGAGCCACTGGAGCAGAAAAATGCAGGAGACGCGAGATGGTATTTCAACTGCTCCAAAGATGAGTTGGGTCAAGTAGATGTCCAAGCCGAAATCCCCAACGTGAAGACTCACTCCATAATACACAAAACTGTCCGCAAACCTGAGGGCAGAACCAGAAGATCCTAGTTTGTCTTGCAGTTCTTTTCAAATAGTTTCCATGTCTAGCTCCCTCTCTCTTTACTGCAGTGGTGGGAAAACTTTTGGAACAGAGCAGGGAGGCAGTGATATCCCTGAAGGTGAGACCAAATGTTGGGGTCAAAGGAAGATGGCAAAAAAGGATGCCAACCTTATCAGATTAACACACTTCTTTTAGGCTTGATTTTGTTTAAAAATAGCGGAAAATCAAAAAGCAGGGATTGGCCCCCAAATTTCAAGAATGTGATCCTCTAGGGTTCTAGGGACCACCAAAATTAGGCCAGGGGTTATAAGCCAGGGGTGTGCTTCTGAGAAGTTATAGCCATTTCACACATTACATTGAAAATACACTAAAGGCCTTTTGGCGAACGAATGTGATTGAGAAGACCTACCACACCCAAGCCATGATTAAAGTCATATTCCTTAGATGCGGTATCTTGAAAAGATCTAGGATGTTTCCAGATTTCACCTTCTCTTCCGGAGTCAACTTGAATGAGTACAAAATAAAAGGCAAAACGTCAGCCAGACTTCATGGTTGCTTGGCTGCCCTCTTGTAATCTTGCCTTAGGCATCCCCTCCCTCTCTCTGTTGTATTGCAAGCAAGCGAATCAGAAACCACTTCCTTTTCATTCCCAGACCAGATGTTTTTTTGAAATAATCCCACTTCCAGAAAATTGCATTTTCCCCTTTATTTATTTAGTCGTACACCTGTCGGGTGAAAAGAGCTGGGTTTTGTGAGGCTAGGCTGAAGCTGCCATGACCTAAAAATGATGCAAGTACATAGGCAGAGAGGGCAAAGGAAGAATTTTGTCCAAAAGATCCCTTCAGGGAGGTAGAGAAGATAAGGACTAAAGGAGAAAGGTTCAAAGGAGAAAAAAAAAACGAAGTATAGTTTCAATAGAAGAGAATATATGTGGCTCAGGATTCAGCTGTGGAGTCCTTGGTGCTCTCTGAGCTTGGTTGTTTTCTTGCAGATGTTTCATGACCCAACTAGGTAGCATCATCGGTGTGAGGGAATGTGGGGTTTGCTCCCTGTTTATATGCATTATAGTCACTTGCCCTGCCAGTTTTGGGGCGTGTGTGGTTTCCTCCTTGGTGGTTCCTTGACTAGAGTTTTAATTTCTGCCTGATTGTTTGTCTGGTGTTGATCCCTGCTCGTCTGAGCATTGACTGCTGGAGGGGATGTGTTCTGGTCTTTCTGTTTCCTTCTTAGCTTTTTTGTTACCACTTTTGAATGGTGTGTCAATGTGGTTTATCTCTATGCATCTATTCACGGCTGATTTGTCTGAATGGCAAGCTTCCAGGAATTCCCTAGCATTTTTGCATTTGGCTTGATCTGTTGAAACTATTAGCAGAAAATGGGCAGAAAACAATACTCTAATCAAGGAACCACCAAGGAGGAAACCACACCCCCACCAACACAGGCAGGGCAAGGGACGGTATATAAACAGGGAGCAAACCCCACACTCACCAGCACTGATGATGTTACCTAGTTGGGTGATGAAACGTCTGCAAGCAAACCACCAAGCTCAGGGAGCACTAAGGATTCCACCGAAGTTATAGCATTGGAAAGGAGGAATAAAGCCAGTTTTATTCTCCTTATTTTTAAAGCATTCTATCCTAAAACTTGCCCTCAGAGGAGCAATAAAAAAAAAATTGTGCATTTGGCACCTGGTTGAGGACTTCCTCGGAGATGGTGCGTTTGTTGATAGAGGCGGCTTTTTGGAGGATTTCTTTGGCCTCTTTAATTTTCCCCTTGGTTATCAGCCACCGAGCAGAACTGGGAAGGACCCTGCAATACAAAACAGGTAAAAACATAAATCAGACCTGGAAAAGGAATTGCAGGGGG